TCACTTGCGAAGTCCTACTTTCGTGTTGAACTTGATGGGAAAAAAAAATATTCACAAACAGACAGCCTGCTAGCTTTTAACAGATACTAATAATCGTTTAGCAGCTGATCGACTTAGACGAGTTCAACAAAGCAGTTCTTAGATCAATAAAAAGCTTGTAAGAAATATTTAGGAATACTTTGACATGATCAACTTCTGCTATTTTTTATTGCTTCATATTTCTTTCATTGATATTTCATAGTTCGCTTTTCCTCTATGTGATAAAAAACCAAAATTTTCTAATGTCTCAGTTGACTTGATACCAATCTTATTACAAGATGTATCTAAACTTCACATATCAGTAGATGTTTTTTTTTAAATTGACTCTGGTATTTTTCAGGGCTTATAATTGCCTGTCAAATTCATGGTAATGAATATCAAAGAGAAATAGAACAGTGAACACGGGTTTACCGAAAGAGGTTCACATGAAAAGAAAATAGTAAGCACGGGTTTTCCGGAAAATGCCTAAAAATCAATGTATGGATGGGGGTTTATCGAGTATCATCCGAAGCAAAAATAGGTATAAATAGGCACGAGTATTCCGTATAAAACTTGCCTAAATTGTTTCAATCTATTTTGAATTTTTAAATTAAAACCACGCATAGCGAACAAATAAGGATACGGGTTTTCCGAATACACATCCACCTCTTCGCAGCAGAATGGGCTCTACGTCCCGAAGAGGAGAAACACTGTCTGAAAGCAGTGGCCAACAATCCTGCATCTTTTGGTCAATCGCAAAAATAAGAAATAAAAGAGTTATGTTAATAAAAACAGTAAATTAAAGAAAGTTGGATCTTCTGATTTATTGTTTTATAGTTTTCTGTTATTTTCAGATACAATGAGGAACCCGCAAGTATGGTAGGAATTCCGGAAATTTTTTGAAGAATCCTTTGGGAATCCTGGAAATCCCATGGGAATCTCTGGAATCCCATGGGAATCTCGGGAATCCCATGGGAATCTCGGGAATCCCATGGGAATCT